AACTACTGCAAATTGCTAATAGCCCTCTAATATAACAAGTTCCACCAACAGGTGTTCGTCTTAATAAACAATAATAAATGTACTGCTCAATCCACCTGCCACTAAATTTGGCCAGATTAAGAAGACCTTTCATCAGTTTCCCGTATATTGCAGAAGAAAAGAGGGAGCAGCAGCTGAAGCAGTGAACAAACATCCTGTTTTTATTCAAAATGTCAGTGAGAAGATCATAAAAATTAGCCCGAAGCAAAGAGTGAGAGCGGGTTTAACCGAGGAATCTAAAATGGAGGTCTGACCGCCCCTCCTCCCTCCTACCGTCCTTACACAACCGAGCCAGCAGAAGCCCACCTGAAAACTCACACAGTCGATTGTTCTGCATCAACCTGGTATAACATCTTTACCATGTAAACATCTCCAAACGTCCAGATTTCTTAGCCTTTCACAAGAGCACAACAAGTTTGTTTTTAACCCAAAGCTGCATCTGCAACAAGCTCTCTCTCTCTAACACATCTAAATTCTGGTGATTCTTCACCTTTTCCCTGAACGAGCGGGCCCCTTCCTGCACGGTAAACACAGCATTTCCATTAGATTGTTTGGAGCGTGTTCACTGCTCCGTGACTCAGACACTGCAGCAATGTGACTGCGTGTCTCCAGCCTCAATAACATGGCCTCTGGTTTGTGCCACTTCAGAGGTGCCTGTGGGGCTCCCCGACGCTTTCAGACGCGATGAGCTACTACAGGCGTGAGGGCAGGAATTTAGGGGTAAATAGCTTTTGTAACAGTCCTTCCTTTTAGCCAGTGATGTGCACAAATGCTGACAGAAAACCACACATACAAATGCTCTTACCCACAAGCATACCCACATGATCATTTCTGTTATTTGCACACACAGGCAGATGAATATGGAAATATGAAAGGGGGGGGGGGGGGTTGTATCCCCTGTGCTGTGAGAAGGAAATGTTAATAGCTTGTGAGCGTTAATCACAAGTGTAAGATGCATAAATTTGTTTAGCAATGATTTGGGGCCCATTTAAATTAAAGCGGCGGTTTGGATTTATTTGAAGGGAGGCTTGTTGGAGAGGTGTAGGAGTTGACATCATCTCACCTGGACTAAAGAGTTTTTTTCAGTTTTGGGAAACAGGAAGATGTCTTATTCAATGAATTATTAACTTCTTTTCAGATGTAACTTTAATCATTTCAATTTTCCCTAAAAACCTTGGTAAATGTAGAAGAAAAACTGGCTTAATCAGGATAACTTCACAAAAAAAGCTCATGCCCAACGAGGACTTCAAATCTCCATTTAATTATACCTATAATGAGTATTTAGATTTATCTTAATACAGGCAATTACTGCTGCAAAAGTTGATTTAATTCTCTCCTTCTGGCAGATCCTCTTTGTCAAGAGCAAGTGTTTTGTTTGTTGGCATTAAAGTCTACCAGTTTATCTGCCTCTATTGGGCCTTTCAGACAGGACACAGCGTGCGATGTTCTTGCTGCAAGGTTCAGTGCATTTGCGGCATGTTACGCTGTCTGGTTGGTGCTGCATTGGCTGGATGGGCGGGTGTTTGTTTGCTGTCAGCAATAAAGTGCTAGCACTAGCCATCCTAGTTCATAAAAAATCAAAGAGCAACAAGGAAGAAGAGGCAATAGGTGCACAAAACAATGGCTCCAAGGGGCAGATAGAGGAGTTCTTGGATGTGCCAAAGAAACTGTGATTGGAAATTTGGGCCATATATTTGTGGATTTCAGACACACTATAAGTTTTTCCATCTTTTTGCTTTCTGATCTTTCTTAACCTCCAAAGGACAATTGCTAATGTGTATCAGTCAGGTATAGCACTCATTTTTTATCCTGGACTGCACCCATGCAATCTGTTCTGTGAAGGGAGGGATGTTCAGCAGTACCTTTCAAAGCAACACCTAGAGCAGCGGTCACCAACATGGTGCCCGCGGGCACCAAGGGGCCCTCAAGGACCACAAGAGGTGCCCTTAGAGTCTTCTGAAAGTAGAACAACTCAACACTGAGCAACGTTTGAAATTTCATTGTATTCTGCTCTTCTTTTTTAATCAGTTATAGAACATTTCATCATTTAATCATATATGGCATTTAAGCATTTATAGAGATTTCAAAATGAAAGTGTCTAAAAGAAAATGAGAAATTTAAAGAAACGATAAAGATTGACCCTTGCAATTCATCTGTCAGTATTCGTACTGTAGCAATTCCTGTGACTCAGTGCCCCTGAAATAGCCCTCAACTGTAAAAAGGTTGGTGACCACTGACCTAGAGAATTCCTACCAATGTTTAGTGTTAGTCAATCACGATAACAAATTAGCTAGCAGCAGACCCCGCGAGAAACAACAAATGCTCTTAAGCTATTCCTCATACAAAAATTTTAATTTTGATTCTGGTATAGCATATGTGATAGCAGCTGCTGGTATCTCTCCGGCTCTGACATTTTATTTTGGTTGGTTGTGGTCTTTGCAGCTCTTACTTTCATCAACAACAGAGCTATACCATCCATCCATCCATCCATCCATCCATCCATCCATCCATCCATCCATCCATCCATCCATCCATCCATCCATCCATCCATCCATC